CCATGTATCCCGATCTTCCATTTCGAAGGTAAACCTGAATGGAATTTTGAAAGTATTTCGAAATTTTTTTTTTTTTATTTAACGAAACGTTTGCTAACGTTTCAGTTATTTTTTTCTTTTTTGCAGTTTTTCGGCTTTCCGGTATGGAATTTCGAAGGTAAAACTTCGAAATTCTATTTTATTTAACAAAATGTATGTATCGGCTTCGACTCTTCACTTTGTATTGTAGTTTTGAAAGTTTTCTTTCGAAACATTTTTTTGATTTTTTTTTATAAAAATCTTTCTGATTTTTTTTTTTCATTTCTTTTTTTAAGGTACTGTATGTATCAGCTCTGACTTTTCACTTTGGACGGTAAGTTTCAAAGGTTTCATTTCTTTTGAAACTTATTTGTTTTTTTTCATTTTTTTCTTTTTTTGTAGATATCGCTTCGACCTTGAGCTTTGTCTAGAATCTGGTAAGTTTCAATGCGAAACTTACATTTTTAATTTTTTTTTTCTTTTTTGCAGGTATTGGTAAATTGAGCTTCTTGGATCCTGGTGATGGAATCAGTAAGTTTTGAAATGGTTTGTTTCGATATTTTTAAAGTTTTCTTTTTAATTTTGAAGAAACTAACCGTTTCTTCTTTCGTCTATTCTGTAGGTATCATCTTAAATTATCAGGTCAGCTTTTTGGTTAAGTTTTCGAAACATTAAAAAAAGCAAATTTGTTTTATAAAGAAATGGCTAATAATATTTTTTTTTTTCTTTATAGACAGCCGGTTCCTTTGGAGTATTTGAATGTGGAATCCAGATAAGTTTCGAAAAAAGTAACTCGAAACTTAAAAATTTAATGTTTTTTTTAGTTTGTTTTTTATGGATGAAACTTTATTATATTTATGTTTTTTTTTACAAAAATTTACCCTTAGATAGACAATACATTCATTTATATTAATACATTGTATAGTATTTTATAATAAATTGTATAATAAATTGTTTACAATGGAAGTAATAATTGAATAAATTCTATTTAATAAATCATAAAAATTGTTGAATCTTTCCGGTCGATTTTTTGACCAGACAGACCAAATTTTGTCCAACGTCAGTTTAAATTTAAATATGGATTGCCAATAATATTGAGTAAAAGATAATGGGGGATGAAGTCAATACCTCACAAAATGCAATTTAATTTGCGTAAGAAAAATTTTCAGATATATTTTTTTGTAGTTTATATAGCAATGTGACAAATAAGGCAAAAAAAGAAATAGTAATTCAAATATATATGTGCTACTTAACAATAATTTTAACGATGCAATAATGTGAAGAAACGTTAAATTATAGTTCGAGTACGATTATATTTGTTTTCTTTGTATCATGTAACGATAAATTAGTGAAAATATTGCCATCTTAATAAAATTAAATCAGTTGCAGTATAACGACTTAATCGATACACCACTAATTTAGATTTACTGCAATCAAATATTTTGTGCTGCTTTCATAAAAGACTGACCAATACGTCCGGTCTGATTAAATTGTTAATATCCGCTTGTTATTAGCAAAATTTTTTTTTTGAAAAGAATTACGATATGTTCTTTGACAAAATTACAAATGTTTTGGTTATTATTCATGTCACCAGGAAATTTTCCATACAGAAAGAAAATTTTTAATTTAAAATTTGAATGATTTCTTCTCGCAGTTATGGATATAAGCAGGACAATCATCTGATTTCAAGTCATAATCAAAATCTAAGATAGCTTTCATAATAAAATCATTAATGTGCTCATGGAATACGTGAGAATTTATAATGAATGGGAAACAAGCCACAGTGTACGAGCAACTTGCTTAATATAGCAGAAAGTTCTTTGCAATTAGAGTGTAGAGTAATTACACATTGTACACATTGTAAGCTACATGATGTAGAAGTTCGTATTCTCGTACTTTTTGTTTCCTTTGTTTTCATTATAATGTTTTGCGCCATTTCTTCTCATTAGTTAACTTGTTTTAGTGGCATTACAATAGTAATCATCTAAGAAAAAAAATACTCGCAAAAAAATTCAGCATGATACAATAAAATTTCACCTAAAAAGTATATATCGTTATCATCAGAAGGAACATGGAATAAAGAGTGGAAATTTTTATGCAGTAACTGATGCTGTTTTCACTCGTAATATTAAAAATAAAAATGAAAATGAAAATTGTTGTTAATGGTAGTTCTATATATTTCTTGCACGATACTTAGCGAAAGGGTATTATGTTAGTATGTATGATTTTTGTCAACTATTTTATTAGAAGAATTTCTGTAAGTTTTTGACAGAAGCTTGTGTTGACATATTGTAAAAAGTTATTTATTTAAGAATTTATTTTTATATGCAAAAGTCGTTGGCTTTATATTTATTTTTATGTTTATATAAAGTGTCTATGAGACCTATAATTTTATGTTTTATAATTTTTTGTAAAAATTATTCTATAAATTATTAATTTTCTAAAGCCTTCAATTCCAACTCTTTTTCCATGTTGGACAACTCCAGAGCACGGACACTAGCCTCTCTCTCTCTGAGAGCCATTTCTCGCTCTCTGAGAGAGAGCTCTCTTTCCCTCTCTTCGTAAGTTTTCTCCCTAGAATCCGCGCCTTCATCATCCTTAAATCCTTCATGGATCTTCCTGAGAAGATCCAGATTTTTCCATAAAGAACCAGCGAATTTTAAATCATCTGCAATGCAAACGCTGAGAAAGGCTTGAGGATTCAGTTAAACATATCAAAAAGTTTTCCTAACTACCTTGCAATAAATTGAGTAAGAAGCAACTAATAACACCATTCCGTGATTCAGCTTAGTTTCAGTTCACTAACTGTATGTTGAACTGGTTTGAAATTACTCACTTTTTTCGCCTTAATTAGTCCTCTAGCTGCACTAATTTCTTCCTCCGACGCGTTTTCATCTAATAAGATGGAATTAAGGCACGAATAAAACTTTTTGTGAGTGCTGGCCATCTGACAGTGGTTAAAGTTTTGAACTGACCAACTATCAAAATCGACTAATGACGAGCTCTTTATTTCTTGTTGTTGAAAATATTGTTCAGACATATTTGTCTACAAAGTTTATAAATTTCTCTTTTTTGCGAAGGGGGGAGGGTGGGTATTTATATCTTTATTGCGAATCTGTCAAATAATTCTGATCACAACAATTTCTGAATTACTAAGCTTTTGAACACGAAAGTTTGTATCACACATGACCTTTTTATCAAAGTCCGATGCACAAACAACTTGGGATATTGTTTAGCCATTGATTTTACGCGTTATCTAGTTATCTATTAACTTAGCTATAAACACGAAAAAAAGTTGTATCACACATGACCCTTTTATCAAGCTCCGTTGCATATCAACTTGGAATTCAACTATGAATATACTATAAGCCTCTGAATACGAAAAAAATTGTTATGATGTTATTGATGTTATCTATCAGCTCACCAACTTGATCACTCACACAAAGCCACATTACACACAAAGATATATTAATCAAATATACTTATATCATGATATCACGTACATTAAAAACAGAAACTGATATCTGACTGATATCTTGAAGGAAAAAAAAGTCAAAATTTATATTGTTTCTATTTTAAAAAAAAAGTTAATTTAAAACTTCCATAATTCAATCAATATATTGTATATATATATATATAATTAATTCTAAAATGATCTTTTAATATGATATTAATTAAAATATATATTAAATAAAAGTTTACAATATATTATATACCGCAATATATAGATAACCCAACCCATAATTACTACTTTCGTTTTAATTGACGTTAAATCTCTATAATACATGTATTCCAATTATTCCTAATTTTTTCTCTTTGTACTTGCAGTTGCTGACTAATTTTATATACAATATATTGATTAATTTATTTTGTTCGGTCGTGATTTGATAGATAACTTCACGTTACAATAGTTTAGATTTGTTGATCTGTAAGAGAGAACAAAATATTAAAATGGTAAGTCTAATTACGTCAGCTGCTCCAATTTTTATTTATTTTTAAAAAAATATTTTCTTTTTTTCATTTGCTTGTCCTCACTTCAATACTGTATATACAAGTTCAATAAATGAAGAAGTGCCAACACAGTTTTTTCAAATTAAGTCAAATTATATTAATTATATTGAAATTTGGAGGATGATATTACTATTTAAGTTGATGAAGATCCGAAAATAAAATTATTTCGTGCGAATATGATCGTCATTCTCTACTACAATCTGCAGTATAACTATTAGTTCTATTGAATAATATGGGTTGATTGGTTTTGCTCAACTAACATAGCTTCTATGAATCAAAAAAAAAAAAGAATAATAATATTTAAAAATTTTTGTGGATGTGAATAAAGTAAACTAATATAACACTCAATACTTTTATCATATGATAGAAATTTATAGTCAAATTATCAAAATTATTGATTGTACTGTATGTCACTTATTGCTTAAATTTAGCAAAGTAATTTAAAAGATTGTAACTTGTGCTTCCTCAATATTAGTCATTATATTAGTTGGTAGACTGCTTGACTGATAGCACAATATTTTTTGAAGAAAACTGTTTCGATAAATAATTTGTTCAAAATATTTTTCAGATTTATTTTCAATCAAATATTTTCGTTAATTTTTGAAGTCTAAAATTTAAATATACTATGTAGTTTCTTGTTCATTTAATCTAAATAACAAGTAAAAATTTGTGATGAGTATAAAATATCAAAATATTAGAAGAATGAATATAACTTAAAGATATTTTTAAATGTGAACCAAGGTCATCATTTTTTTTATCAAGTTACGGAGAACTATGGTAATACAAAGAAATCATGTGTACTGAATACGTTTCCGCCAATCTGCAGAATCTGCAGAATGCATGTGATAATCTACAATGTTCAAACTTTTTGTCATTCTTACATAATCATCTTTTGACCATTAAAGTATTAATATCGTTAGTCTAGGTTCTTATATTCGTATATCGTAAACATCGCAAACTTAATAAGAAAAATGTCCAAACAATTTTTTTCAGGGTTAAGTCAAAATTATATGGAAATTTTGGAAGATAATGAATATTATGATGTTACTATTGAAGTTGGTGAGGACCCAAACGTAAAAATATTTCGTGCACATATGATTATTTTGTATTACCGTTCTCCATTTTTACATTGTCAAATATTTCACCAGAAATTTTTCAAATTATTTTAAAGTAAGTTATATTCTAATTTTTATTAGAACTAAGGAAACGGGAACCGTTGAAAGTCCGGAGCGAAAAACTAAAATTTGCGATTTCATTGGGTAACGATCATGTGGCGGACAGGGAAATTCACGTGATTGTCGCTCCGGACAATAATAAATATTTTATATTTATAATAAATCTTTTTTTTTTATTTAGATATATTTTATGGTGGTACCATTTCTTTAATGAGTATGAACCTTCTGAAATTTTAAATATCTTGGTTGCCGCTGATCAACTTCATTTCAAGAATTAATTGATTATTTACAAGAATATTTAATTAAATATAAATATGAATGGATGGAACAACATTTTGAATTAATTTATCAAACAGGTTTTCAATCCAATTCTTTATTAAATTTACAAAATTTTTGTACAGGTTGTATGACCAAATCTCCTCATAAAATATTTAATTCATTTGATTTTACCTCACTATCTGAAAAATCTTTGGTTTCACTTATTAAAAAAAATGATTTACAAATGAAATAAATTGAAATTTGGGAACATGTATTAAAATGGGGACTTGAAAAAAATCCTAAACTTTTTCCGGATCCTACAACTTGGTCAGATGATGAATTTAAAAAAAATGGAAAATGTTTTGCAACATTGTTTACCTTTGGTGAGATTTTTCGGTCTTTCATCTGAAGATTTCTTTCAAAAAGTTCGACCTTATAAAAAACTTTTAAAGAACCAACTTTATGAAGAGTTATTAGAGTCATATTTAAATCCTAATAGTGAACCGAATGATAATATTTTACTTCCTAGATATAGAAATATTGATGGAATTGTTAATTCGAAAATTGTTAATTTAAATATTGCATCTTTAATTTCAAGATGGATGGATAAAATAAATATTAAAAGTAAATACATTTATACAAGAGAATTGTATTTACCTTATGAATTTAAATTATTACTAAGAGGATGTAAAGATGGATTTACTCCTAAAAAATTTCATAAATTATGTGATAATATACCTCATACTGTAATATTTATTAAATAGAAGGAACAGAAGAAATTATTGGAGGATATAATCCTTTGAAATAGGAATCACATAATAATGGTAAATGGGGTGAAACTAAAGATAGTTTTATATTTTTTTTTAAAATAAGAATAATTTTAAAGACCAAATTTTAAGTCATGTTGAAAATATGAGTAATGCATTATTTTATCATACTAAATATGGTCCTTTATTTGGTGGTGGTGATATTAATATATTTGTGTTTGAGAATTATGATTCAAAAGATTTTGACCAGTGTTATTGTAGACAACGAAATTATGAAAAAAAGATAAGAGATACAGTAGATAAGTTTATGAAGTATTTCAAATTATAAAGAAAAGTAAATAGTTAATGTTTTACAATCATTTATATATATGTGAGTCAAATTAAAGTTTCTCAAAATATTTATAGGGTACTATTATTCCAAGCTTTTGTATACAGTATAATGAAAATCATATGATATGTTCAAAAAAACCGTTATGTAACTTATTTTAGTTAGTTTTTGATGAATAAAAATAAGTAAATAGAGTACAATTAAGTTAATCCTATTAATTTTCAATAATTTCAAGATAAATTTACAAATTTCATAAGTTATAGCAAATTTTGATAGCCGGGAAGAAACAATTCGTGATGTATTTATTATTCTGAGTGTGTTGATTTACAATGTCAATATGAGCCCTACATTTAATTTGAGATATTACACAGGTATAGAAATTGACATTCCTTATGATCATGATAGCTTATGAACGTTTGGAGAAGTTGAGAAAGAAATTCTATTTCGTACTTTTTCAATAGAATATAAAGTCTCCAAATAGCATAGTGATCAATATTATAATTATTAAGTGTGCTTTAATATATTAATTTCAAAGTTTAATGCCAATAAATGTTAATAAACGATGACTAATCAAATAATTGAACAAAAATTATGTTTATAAAATTTTTCAGTATACTACTTAATAGGTAACTTTGACCGGGTGATAATTACAAATAAGTTATATGGTAGAAATTGAGAAACCATTTTTTTATTGCAACTATTATACTCTTAAGTAATTTGTTATTGATTAAATGTAACATTAATGTTTTTAATATAAAATGAGTATTTTCTTAGAAATAAACTTCTAATAAGGTTAAATATTATTAAGAATAATTTTAACTATAACAAGGAAATTTGTTAAAAAGATTCTTAAAATATATGGAATATTTCAAAATCCAGATAAAAATGATTACATTTTGGTTTTTAACTGGACAAGTGGAAATGAAAAAATTGATAATTTCATTCAAAAAATTCAATTAAAAGTTAGTGGCTATAATGATGCAATATTAGAATGGATACCATATAATCATTTTAAGAAATAGGTAAAAATAGTTTTATGACTGTATACTCAACAATATGGACATTAGTATATAAGGAGAATAGATGGAATATAGGCTATTCAAGAGATTCAAAAAAAGAAGTTACTTCAAAAAGTTTGCGTAGTAACTAGTGACTTACAAGATTTGTAATAAACGAGGTATAAATTTAATTAATATATTTAAATAATAAGATGTAATATTTATTTATTTCGTAATAAAATAGAAAGAATAAATATTTTGGAGTTAAATCATTTTAACGAACTTGATTTGAAAAAAATAAATCTAAAAAATAATTTATAATCGAGATTACATTTATGGACATTTTTTACTTCTTTTATTATTTATTTTGAAATACATAAAAAACATGTCGTGATTTTATATTTATATTAATATACAATGATAAATAATTGAGTATCACGCAAAATTATTCATAAAATTTCCATAAATGAATATATTTAATGAAATATTAATCAATTTTCCTAAAAATATTTTTATTTATTCTTTTTTTTTTATTTAAGTCCCCTTTCGTTTTTTTGTATTTTTTAGTTTTGGTTTTACAAAGTTTTACAGGTTTAAGCATGGACCATTACATAACATTACACAACATGTCATTTATCCCTTTTAGATCTGATTTTGTAATACAGTTATTTACTATTAACTATATATATATATCAAAGAATTTTGTACAATGCAAAATGTTTAATCGTCACAAAAAAAAAAAATCATAAGATTTTAGCACATGACTAAACCGCACACTTGTGTTAATTACTGGTAAAGTTTATAAATAAACGAATGATAGAACAATACATGAAAGTTTGTATTTATTGACATATTACTACAATATTTACCTCGTATACGCCTATCAATTTATTAATGATCTTAATTAAGAATCTATAATAACAATCTTCTGAAAATAAAAACTAGTTAACATGCAAGAAATTTGTCTTGTAAAAAAAAAATAATTTTAAAAACTTAAAAAGAAAGAAACGTTCATTACTCGCTTTAATTCAAATTTAATATCTTATATTTCTTTTCTAAATTGCTTTGTATAAAATAAATTTTGATCGAATTATTTATATTATGATAATTATTACGGTACATACAATATATAAAATAAAATCAATCCAAGAATGAAGTAAAATATTTAGAAATTTAGAATTATTTTTAAAAATCTCAAAAAATTATTTTCAAATTTATATAAATAAAATTTTGTAAGATTTTCCTTATGAAAATTATCACTTTGAACAATAATAATTATTTTATACCGGGAAATAACCGTTCCATTATAATTTATTATTAATGTAATTTCTAATTTTTTGATTTTCTAAAATAAAATTTACGTGTACAAACTGTAGTTACTGTACCACGAACTCATGTAGTACCTTTTTATTAACGATTATGGGATTACACAATTAACTTTATAAGTTTAGTCCCTCGAATTAATTTTTAAAAATTCGAAGCTTCAACAATAAAACCCATTATGTCTTTTGGTAATAATCAATTAGTTTAATGCTGCAATTAACAGAGAATATGCTTTAGTAGATTACAATATTTATGATAATGTGAATAAACGACATGATGATATAGTAGTATATTTAATATATTATTTAACTGATATCTAAACCGAAATTATAGAAGATTACAAATGATACTATCAATTTTCTTCAGTTTTAATATTGTAACTTATGGGAAAAAATGATTTACATCAATTACATGAAAAAATTCCGAGTAATATTTATAAAGTTCACGAGTCATTTGTTACATCTAGTAATATCTTAACAGTCACATTATAAAATAATATATATATATATATATTTTTTATTAAAAATAATATTTTTTTTACCAACAATAAATTGCGTGCATAAATTATAAGAAAACTTTACATTAGGAAAGATAATACTTTTTTCTATTTAACAACAATAGGTTGCACATATAACTGTTATAATTACATGTGAATATTAGTCATTTCTGTATAAAATTTGAAACACTTCATAATCTTCTATCGAAAACCTATCTTCTGTATCTCTTATCTTTTTATCATAACATTCATGTTCACACCAGCAACGGTCATAGTCTTTCGAATCATCATCCTCATTTACATGTAAATTAAGATCATGGTTACCAAATACAGGTCCACATTCAGAATGATAAAGTAGTGCATGATCTATATTCTTAACGTGACTTAAAATTGGATCCTTAAAATTATCCTTATTTTTAAAAGAAAATATAAAACTATCTTTAGCTTTACCCCATTCAGAAAATTTTGACTTGATGTTACTGCTTGACTTCCATATTGATGGATTATATCCCCCAATAATTTCTTCTGTTCCTTTTACTTTAATAAATGTAACAGTACTAAGAATATTATCACATAATTTATGAAACTTTTTAGGAGAAAACCCGTCCCGGCTTCCCCTCAATAATAATTTGAATTTAAATGGTAAATATAATTCTCTTGTATAAGCATATTTGCTTTTAATATCTATTTTATCAATACATCTTGAAATTAAAGATGCAATATTTAAATTAACAATTTTTGAATCAATAATTCCATTAATAATTCTATTTCTAGGAAGTAAAATATTATCACTTGGTTTGCTATTTGGATTTAAATAAGAATTTAACAACTCTTCATAAAGTTGTTGCCTAAAAAGTTTTTTATATGGATGAATTTTTTGTATGAATTCTTCAGATGATAAGCTAAAAAATCTAATTAAAGGTAAACAGTGTTGCAAAGTATTTTCCATCATTTTGAAATCATCATCTGACCAAGTTGTAGGATCTGGAAGAAGTGTAGAATTTTTTTCAAGACCCCATCTTAATACATGATCCCAAATTTCAATTTCTTTCATTTGTAAATCATCTTTTTTAATAAGCGAAATTAAAGACTTTTCAGAAAGTGAGGTAAAATCAAATGAATTGAATATTTTATGAGGAGATTTAGTCATACAATTTGTACAAAAATTTTGTAAATTTAATAAAGAATTGGATTGAAAACCTGTTTGATAAATTAATTCAAAATGTTGTTCCATCCAATCAACTTTATTTTTAATTAAATATTCTTGTAAATAATCAACTAATTCTTGAAGGTGAAGTTGATCAGCAGCAATTAATATTCTTAAAATTTCTGAAGGTTCTCGATCGTTAAAAGAAATTATTCCACCATAAATATATCTAAGCATAAAAAAAATTTTAATGTAACTTATGAAAGATTTATATTACTAATAAAAATTAGAATGTAACTTACTTTAAAATAATTTGAAAAATTTCTGGTGAGATATTTGATAATTTAATGTGAGTTAAGTCACCATTATCATTTTTTTTGTTGGAAGACAAAGTTCGTCGTAAAAATGGGGAACGATAACGAAGGATGATCATATGTGAACGGAATATTTTTACGTTTGGATCCTCACCGACTTCAATAGTAATATCATAATGCTCATCATCTTCCAAAATTTCCATATAATTTTGACTTAAATTTGGAAAAAATTGTTTGGACATTTTTTTCTGTTAAGTTTAGTAAATGTAAAAAAAAAAATGTATAACCGACTTAGAGTAGAAATTTTTTTTTTAAAAAAAAAAAGATCAGCTGACTTCATATTTGTATTTTGTATCACCACTGTTCCACCATTATTGTGGGATCGACATTCGACAATTTAGATTGTAGAAGCTCATTATTTCAGTTCTTATATAATCTTAGGAAACTTTTCGGTTGCAAATAAAACATAATTTTATATTAAAAGAATCATTTTGCAAATTTAGTGGTGCTTCCCTTCATTTTAGATCATAAAAGGAATTTTAATTTAGATCATAAAAGCTATGCTTTTCGCTTTGTAGGGTTTTTTTTTTGCTTTATAATACACCGATTTTCGCTTTCAAAGTGAATAATATTTTTTAAATTCTCTCATTTATTTATAATTTAATTTCAAAAGATATTTGCTTTACTTCATTTGCAAATCGGATTTTAACAAAGTGTAATACTATAATGACATATTTTAAAAAAAAAGTCATCAAAGGAGGTAATTTAATTATTAATTCTATTTATTATTTTATTTATTTATTTATTTATTTTTCGATATTACTATGTATGACTGTGTTGATTCAATTATGCGCCATAAAGTACAATTATCTGATTTTATTTAATTACTAATTTAACAAATAATTTCTTTTTTTTTACCTTTTTATTTAGTTAACTAGGCGTAACCTGTCGCGATGCGCCAGGGACGATAAAGTAAGAGAGTAATAATAAATACACTTATATTTTATTTGCCATGCAGTGTGAATAGGTCTAGTTTTTTACTATTATTATGATGGGATTAGTAGGAAATAAATGAAATAAATGTAATAAATTACACAATTTATATGATTATACAAATAACAATGAGTTGTGTGCAAGTGTTATACAGTATATGAAATATTATTATTATTAAATGGCAAATTTTATTTATCACACGAAATAAATGTTGCGGTACTGTGAAATTTATGATTTATTTATAAATTCGTTACAAAAACAATTTTGTATAAGTAGTTTATTGTCACATTGTTACAAAAAAAATCCTTTTTTTTTTAGTCTTAAAAATTCTATTGTAACATTAAAAAAAATTACATCCTCTATTGGAAAAAAATACATATGTATTGTTGCCATATCTCAAAGAATTCATTATAGCAATCTATTGTTATAGAAAAAAAAAAAATATCTCACTTAAAAGACCAAAACAATGGGATTATTTATAAAAAAAAAAAAAAAATGATATTTGAAAAAAAAAAACTTGCTGATCGGGTCTTAGTTATAAAGAATACGGACCAGCAATTCAAAATTAATTTATACAGGTTAATCTAAACGTTACGGTTACACATTTTATCTCATTGTGTATGGCGTATACACCGATGGATTTTATACTTTTTTATACTTTTTCTATACCGGTGGAATAATTTACAAAAAAATCCATCGGTGTATACATAATACCGATGGGATAAAATATCTTTACATATAAAATCAAATCAATTATAATAATGATAATTTAAATCAAACATACCAATATCAAATATTGAACTATTCATTACAGAAACACGATTTACACTCGTAAAAGCCCAAACTAATACTACTGTATTAATAACATTAGTAAATTATACTTTAAGGTATATTAATATTTAGACTTTATTTTTGATTTATTAAACTTGTCAAAAATTACATTTATTATTATGAATAGACAGTTGGGGTATCAATAAAAAAGCTAGCTTTGTTAAAGATATGAGTTTGTAAAAAAAAAACAATTTAAAATTAAAATAATCAATATCATAGTCTACAGTAGCTAGAAAAAAATATTTATATAAATAAAGAAAATTAGTAATAAATCAAAATAATGTTACAATCGAAAAAAGTTTTTTTTTACCATCTTATTCTTCAGAATGAAGATTTGGGTTATCATATACTTTATTAAAGATAAAATTAAAATATTGTAAAAATTGTGACATTTTTACTTAACCATTAAAAATTATATTTGATCCTTTATGTGTTGCATATTTGCATTATCATCTTTAATAATCATTTTTAGTATCTAATTACATTATAATAAATAAATTATATTACTGTATATTTTAAATACTTGTAAAACGATATTTGTTTTTTTTACATTTTTATTTTTTTTTATTTCTACACGTCCACACGCACGTCTACGTATTCTAGATGAAAACGTTTGCGTACAAATAATTTCCATGTCAATAGAGCTTGATATGAAAAATTCTGAACATGCTGAAGGGTATTGCTTCATAATGTGCGTGATATGTTATTAATTCATTATCATGTGACAGTAGAAATATTCATCACAGGCATCACACCCTACCGCGTTTTCACTTTTTATATTTATTTGAGGAACTTAGTTTTTTTCGGGTGGGCAAAATCACACCTTATTCATCACTATTTTCACGTTAGTGTATAATGCCGTAATGCGGGCCAAAGGTCACGTGAAAGTGAATTTTTTATGGTGACGCTGGGGTAGTTTTATTCAAAGAAACACATCAGGTCTTCCTTTGGGTCGACCATGCTTTTTTGATAATCTTGCCGACTTACTTCACATAAAATAATCTATCAATCAAAGAAACATATCACATGATCAATAAAACATGAAAATCTGATAAATCTTTTGTAAACGAAATATTTTGATCTTTTTTCCAAATTAAAAATACAATGAATAGCATGAAAGAATGATAATAAATATGGTGGGAACTGATACCGTTAATTATTATATGTTAATGATGTTATACATTTTAATTTTATATACTATTTAATCAAAATATTACAAAAAGTATATATATATATATATATTATCATAAAAAAAATTGTATAATTCTACGCACGCAGACATTAAATAACTATCATACTTATACATTTTCGACGGCATGTTCGTAATAATCTGTTTCGACATAGTATTTTGAAAGGAGGTTTTTGAATTCAGCTTGATTGCTAAGAATACTCGTTTTGGTGTCAATGTCAACCTCCTTTTCCTCTTTTTCCCAGGTGCCTAATTCTACATTGCCATCACCTTTCAATTCCTTAAGAAGTTTTTCCCTATCTTGTTTTATGAATACAAACCGTGCCACAAACCCGAATGGATCCATCTTGCTACTACCAAAGAGAAAGCCGAAAATTCCCCAGATGCCAAGGTAACCACCGACGTTACTAAAAAGGTCAGCTAGCGTGATGGATGGATTCTCAACCTGATTTGTGACGATTCTTGGTTCGAAGATGGTAACGTTTATTCGTGTTCCATTTAAAGCAGGTTCGATAATAACAGTTTCAATGACAGAGATCTGAAAGCTTCTATCCACGTTTTCGTTTAAATCAGTATGACGGGTCTCTGTATATTGGATAGTACCACCATTTCCCTCTAACACTTGAACCCCTACATTACTAAGCAAGTTTCCTTGAGGAATGGTAAGAGTCCAATCCATATTCGTATTGTTATCGCCAATGAAAACAATAATACCGGAAGCATCACCAATAAAGCTTAGTGAATAGGTTCCTTCACTGCTGTCACTTATTGGCTTAAGGAACATTGTACCATTAAAAAATTGGCATTCCCCATTTTTTCCTGAAATAATACTAAATTGTTGGACTAAATCAATGGGAGCAGATTCAGAAATACCATTAATAGCAGGATAATATTCGGCAGAAGTATATTTGAGACTTCTTTTTTCACCGTTGCAAAAAAGCATAAATGGAGCCATCATATTGTTCTTTATTAACGCCACAGATATCTTGGGGGAATCATATATCATTTTGGAAATATTGAAATAAATTACTCCTACTAACCCGGCAGTTAGTAACAGGAAAATGATCACTTTAAGTATTCTTGTAGGGACACTTCGAGTGTTGTCAACAACACTAAAATCATCGATAACTTGCTGGCGGAGGCGGGGTAATTGAATGATTCGTATAATGAATACAATAATTATAATAAATACAAAAATTATGGCAACCGCTAAGGCAAACAATCCGGCTCCGCCATTTAGGGTCTCATACCAACTATGATTAAAGGGAACTGTATCGAGAGAATCTCCCATATTGAAAAATTTAGGTTTTTGCTAATGAATTTATGACTTTAGTGGATTTTGGATTTTTCGCACAAAAATAAAAAATAAAAAAAAATTAGAAAAAATATTTTTAATTCTCAACAAATATATATTTTCTTTTACGATTTGTTTACTCTACTAATTTATTCTGATTATAAATTCCAAATAAAGAAAGTATTTGTTTGATACATGTGGTGTAACAATTTCCTAAATGTACTTATAAATAACGAATAATTGTCAAAATTAATTTGAAGTTTTATTTTGGCAAAAAACCTTTCACAAATGCGAATCTTTACTTTTATGGCCGAATTTAGAAATTATTGTGGGCCGAGTTGAATATAAGTTGATTATTTTGGCAATTTCACAAATGCGAATCTTTACTTATATGGCCGAATTTAGAAATTATTGTGGGCCGAGTTTAATCTAATTTGAAGTTTTATTTTGGCAATTTCACAAAGCGAATCTTTACTTATATGGCCGAATTTAGAAATTATTGTGGGCCGAGTTTAATCTAATTTAAAGTTTTATTTTGGCAATTTCACAAAGCGAATCTTTACTTTTATGGCCGAATTTAGAATTATTTTGGGTCGAATTTAAGAATTATTGTGGCCGAATTTCAGGAATTATGATTACAGTAGATCAAATTTGATAGGTCAGTAACAACATAAAGTGAAACTATGGATTTTTATTAATTTAAATATAAAATATGCAAAATAAAATACTATATTTGATATAAATTATACATGTAGAAAACTATAAGAAAATATAAAAATATATATAATATTTCATAAATAATTGTAGTACTTTTCTCAGGGCTAAGGCAATCACTTTATGTGGGCTTAGAGCTTTCAGCATATGAGGAATGCTCAGGAAGGCCTCAGGAATACATGCTCCATACCGAGTCCATTTATTATGTTACATGGCCAATGCACTTGCGTCAAGCACCAAAAACTACTTTTTGCTTTTAACACCTTTAAAAACTTCAAAAGAAAAATATATCAACTCCTTCCAAAATTCAAAAAAAAAATGACAAGGCATGTCACGCTAACCTACTCCAACGACGTTGGGCTATGAAACTCGTTTACTCTCACTGTCTTGGCATCAGTTATACGGTCCGTTATCAAGCAAATGCCATCGTTACTTCATGGACCACGACAAAAGATATATTTATCGTAAAAAGTTAGAGAAATTTTGTCATGAATATAGTACAATACCTCACACCGCTAAAAAGCAACGTGCTCATTTTCAACGACATTTTATCTGTGTTTTTCGATCAGGTATCGTTGGGATTAGAGATCCGGATATGATGGATATAAAAGACAAAATGGCTAATGCCAGAAAACATAGATTTCTTTTTTTAAAATCTCAATTTATTAACAAACTGATTAAACATTTAAGATATCACAAGTCTGATAAAACTCATTCATGATCCTAATATATAGACTGAACAATAGTGTTAGATATTATACTGTATGATATAATTATTAAATATTTATTTGGTTAAACAAACTATTTAGAAAATCGAAGAAATTATAAGTAAATTCATAAATTTATTTATTTTATTGTAATTTTTTTATTATTAATAATTTTATTTAACATTTTATTATTATTTATTTATATTTTCACCAATATTATTATAAACAATTAAATTTAAATGGATGCAAGATTTTTTTTTTTTTTTAAAAAAAAAAAAAAAAAAAAAAAAAAAAAAAAAAAANTAAAAACCTTTGCATATTCTTAATACAAGTAACAGTCGATATTTCGAAAGTTATATACTTTTTTTTTTTTTTAAAAAAAAAAAAAGAAAAGAAAAGAAAAAGAAAGAATTTATGAAAACACTACAAAGAACAAAATTTTGTCCTATCATCGAAACATTTATGTAAGTAATAAGTATAAAGTTCATGAGTTATTTGTTACATCAATTGATTCATAAGCTATTTGACCTGAAACTAGTAGTATCTTAACAGTCACATTATTAAAATAATATATATTTTCTTATTAAAAATAATATTTTTTTTTTACCAATAATAAATTGCGTGCATAAATTATAAGAAGACTTTTCATTAGGTAAGATAATACCTTTTTCTATTTAACAACAATAAGTTGCACATAAAACTGTTATAATTACAGTATGTAATCATTAGTCATTTCTGTTTAAAATTTGAAATACTTCATAATCTTCTATTGAAAAAAAATCTCCTGTATCTCTTATCTTTTTTTCATAATGTTTATGTACACACCGGCAACGATCATATTCTTTTAGCTCATTATCTTCATTTATGAATAATTCAATATCATCACCAAATGTGGGTCCAAATTTATTACTATAATATAATGCACGATTTATTTGTTTAACATAACTTAAAATTGGATCCTTAAAATTATTCTTACTTTTAAAAGAAAATATAAAACTATCTTTAGCTTCACCCCATTTACCACTATTATGTGACTCCCATTTTAAAGGATTATATCCTCCAATAATTTCTTCTGTTTCTTTTATTTTAATAAATGTAACAGTATAAAGTTTATCATTACATAATTCATGAAACTTTTTAGGAGTAAACCCGTCCCGGCTTCCCCTTAATAATAATTTGAATTCATATGGTAAATATAATTCTCTTGTATAAGTATAATTGCTTTTAATATCTATTTTATCAATCCATCTTGAAATTAAAGATACAATATTTAAATTAACAATTTTTAAATCAATAATTCCATTAATAATTCTATTTCTAGGAAGTAGAATATTATCATTTGGTTTGCTATTTGGATTTAAATAAGAATTTAACAACTCTTCATAAAGTTGATGCTTAAAAAGTTTTTTATATGGATGAATTTTTTGTATGAATTCTTCAGATGATAAACTAAAAAATCTAATTAAAGGTAAGCATTGTTTCAAAGTATTTTCCATCATTTTGAAATCATCATCTGACCAAGTTGTAGGATCTGGAAGAAGTGTAGAATTTTTTGATTTTTTTTCAAGACCCCATCTTAATACATGATCCCAAATTTCAATTTCTTTCATTTGTAAATCATCTTTTTTAATAAGCGAAATTAAAGACTTTTCAGAAAGTGAGGTAAAATCAAATGAATTAAATATTTTATGAGGAGATTTAGCCATGATACTTGTACAAAAATTTTGTAGATTTAATAAAGAATTGGATTGAAAACCTGTTTGATAAATTAATTCAAAATGTTGTTCCATCCATTCAACTTTATTTTTAATTAAATATTCTTGCAAATAATCAACTAATTCTTGAAGATGAAGTTGATCAGCAGCAATTAATATTCTTAAAATTTCTGAAGGTTCTTGCTCGTTAAAAGAAATTATTCCACCATAAATATATCTAAACATAAATAAAATTTTAATGTAACTTATAAAAATTTACATTACTAATATAAATCAGAATATTACTTACTTTAAAATAATTTGAAAAGTTTCTGGTGAGATATTTGATAATTTAATGTGAGTTAAGTCACTATCATCACTTTTTTTGTTGGAAGACAAAGTTCGTCGTAAAAATGGGGAACGATAACGAAGGATGATCATATGCGAACGGAATATTTTTACGTTTGGATCCTCACCGACTTCAATAGTAATATCATAATACTCATCATCTTCCAAAATTTCTATATAATTTTGACTTAAATTCGGAAAAAATTGTTTGGACATTTTTTGCTTTAAAGTTAGTAAATGTAAAAAAAAAAAATGTATAACCGACTTAGAGTAGAAATTTTTTTTTTTTTAAAAAAAAAAAAAAATGATCAGCTGACGAATTTATTTTCATATTTGTGTACGTTGTATCACCACTGTTCCACCATTATTGTGGGATCGACAATGGGAAACTTTTCGGTTTGCAAATATAAATATAATTTTATGCTAAAAAATTCATGTTTGTAAATTTATAGGTTCTAGCTTCCCTTCATTTTGGAGCTTAAAGGGAATTTTCAATTTAGATCACGAAAGCTATGCTTTGCTCCGGGTAGTGTTTTTTTTTGCTATGATATATCGATTTTCTCTTTTAAAGTGAATATAATAGTCTATTATTAAATCAACAATTTCTTTAATTAATTAATCATAAAATATTGTAAAATATCAATTTTTTTGATTTTTATGAATTTGAAAATCAAACAATTTATCTGGTATCACGTGATTTTTTATAATTAAAAATGGTTATAATAAATCGTGTATCAGGCAAAAATCCGTGTATCAGGCAATATTCGAATCACGGGATATAATATTTATTTATCCAGCGTTCAATTTAATTAATTTAATTGAAAATCTTAATCATCTTTCTATCAACGTCGTGATCGGTCAACTATGTAAATCAAAACTATATCAAGTAGCTTAATTAAACTATTAATCAAAGATTTTTTTAAATCATAACAGATACTTAATAGAGAGTCTCTTTTACATAGGCCACAATAATTACAGAATAGTTCACTCTAGACATCTAAAAATTCGCAAACTTTCTTATTATTTATTACTTTTTTTTATAAATAACCATTCTCATACATATCTCTGACAAAGTTACGTTTGTTATTTTTGCATTATTATTCAACTTTTAAATCAATGCCCTGTAAAACCTCTCTCTATACTAATATTGAGTAAAAAGAAGGTTATTTTTTCATTAATTGATAAAATATTTCAAATTTAGCAACGTAACTCTGTTATTCTGGAATTAAAATTAACTTTAAAATGTTTTTGGTTGCAAAACGAGTTAGAATTACTAGACATCTAAATTTAGCATGGGTATTTACAAATCATATAAACGAAAGTATCAAGCTCGGATAGCAGCCCAAAAGAGTCTAAAAAAATGACCATAATAAATTAATAATACTATCAAGGAAATAACAAGTCAATTAATTACCCATGGAAGGGGAAGTTATTGCGTCAACCTTTTTAATTGTATCATATGATTATTATTACTTATAGTTGCAGTATTATTGTATTTATAACATTGTATTAGGAAAATATAATTGGAATTAACACGTGAAAAAAAATCTTCAATAGTAAATTTTTATATGATACCATATATAGTTTTGACCCGGCCAGTCGTACATGTTATTGATTTTTTTTTAAAAAAAATAATAATTTTGTAAATATATTTAATACATAAATATTTTATTTTTTCACTTAATAATAATAAAAAAATTGAAAGAAAAAATAAAAAAAAATTTGGGAAAGAAAAAGAAAGGATAAAGAAAGAAATCGGTTCAAAAAAAAGGGAAATTTCCGAAAAAAAAGGAATCTAAAAAAAAATAAGTACCGAAAAAATTCTGAAAAAAAAGGCCGATTATTTAAAAATTTTTAGTATGGGAAAAAAAATTAAACCTAAACGGGAATAGAATGAGAAAAACAAAATTTTTCAGTTTGAAAAAAAAAACTAAACCAAAAGAAGAAAGGGAGAAAAAATTTTTTCAGTTTGAAAAAAATCGAAAAATTTAAGTAAAATTTCATTAACCGAAATTGTATTAGTTGATTGGGATAAATCGGCATGTCGCGGGTTTTAATTATGGGATTTTAAGTTACACAGTTCAAATTATTTATGCAGAGACTTAATCCAAACGTCAGACAAGTTTTTTTAGTTATATATTTTAGTTATATAGATTTATCAAAAAATTTATTATAGATTTAATTACAAAATTATTAATATGGTTATGTTTCTATATAATTAAAAAACAATCTCACTAAAAAAAATTCGTTAACAGTTAATATTAAAAAACTCATATTGAAAAAAAAAAATCACAATAAACAAAAAAAGTTCTCACTAAATCAAAAAATTCTCACTAAAAAAAAATTTTCACGCGAATTTATTAGTCAGAAACAATATCATTAATTAAAAAAATAGTGATCACTAAACATCGAAAGCCAAAAAAAGAATAACCAATATTTTTTGGGTTAATTAAAAAAAACTAAAAAAAGAAGGTAGTTTCGTTTTTACGGTTAAAATTGAAAAATGAAAAAAAAATTATTATTATAGAAATGGGCGGAAATGACCGCAATTAATAATACTTTTTTTGTTAGTATTAATCCATCAGAATAAAAAAAATCCAGTTGAGATTTTAATTAACTGGAAATCGGTTAGTTTAAAGATTGGTTTATATCTTAGTTAGGAAGGTCAATCAAATTTCCTTAATTATGATAAATTATGATAAATACGAAATAGATCGAACGCAAGAATATCACACTTTTCATTGTTACACAATTTAAATTATTTATACAGGGTAATCTAAATATGACTAGATATAATATATATATTCGGACCATTTGGTAATGGTGATAATACGATTAGTGTCAGTAAAGCAATATAGAGATACAAAAGATAAGTTCTTATGGAAATTATGAAGTGTTTCAAATTATAAAAAAAAAATTGATCAAACCTATATACTGTATATACATTTTAACGATCTGCTTTTAAGATAAATTAAATATTACCAAATACATATAAATTCTAATTTGCTAATTTTACATCATTAATTCTAAGTATGATAATTAATGAATTTAATAACAAATACAGCTCATTACTCACTATCATTTGCATACAGAAAAATAAGTAAAAATCATGTTCTTATTATATGCTTTTTTAGTAAGCATATTACTTGTAAAAATCAGCACCTAATATAAATTACTATACATGAACATATAATGACACTATGACAGATAATATCAAAAATAAATGATCGATACAGGAATATATTAAATCCTCCAATTTATTGAAATTTAAGAATATTTAATTTTCACCTAAAGTAATAACTTGAAAATTTCATATATTCTGTAAACGTACAATAAATTATGTGTCAAAATATTTAAATATTTATAATATATTGAATAATTTTATTATATATTGTTAGTTATTTATAGTTTATAAACAGTATAAAATAAAAATAAGTAAACTAGTATGAAATACAAAAATATGGTTCTTGTAAATAAAATGTTTCTTACATACAATTTAAATATTTCTTTTAAAATATAATAAGCAAATAAAATTAAACTTCAAGTAACTGAAATTATTTGAGTATTAATCATTTTTTCTTTATAATTTGAAATACTTCATAATCTTCTATTAAAAACAAACCTCCTTTACTTCTTATCCCTCTTTCGTAGCTTTTTTGTTCACACAGACAATAATTATAATCTTTTGAACTATCCCCCCATTTCACATAAATATCAATATCACGACCAAATGCAGGCCCGACATTTTCACCATAATAAATTGCATGATTCACATCTATTATATTACTTAAAATTGAATCTTTAAAATTATTCTTACTTTTAAAAGAAAATATAAAACTATCTTTGGTTTTAGCATGTTCACCACCTGATTTCCATTCTAAAGGATTATATCCTCCAATAATTTCTTCCGTTCCTTTCACTTTAATAAATGTTACAGTACAAAATTTATCATCACATAATTCATGAAATTTTTTAGGAGTGAATCCATCTCTTTTTCCACTTAAGAGTAAATTGAATTTATATGGAAAATATAATTCTCTTAAATAAGCATATTTGCTTTTAATATCAATTTTATCAATCCATCTAGAAATTAAAGATGCAATATTTAAATTAACAATTTTCGAATCAATAATTCCATCAATATTTCTAGATCGAGGAAGTAAAATATCATCAGTTGGTTCACTATCATTAGGATTTAAATATGACTCCAATAGCTTTTCATAAAGTTGATGTTGATGATTTAAAAGTTTTTTATAAGGCCTAACTTTTTGAAAGAAATTTTCAGAAGATAAACTATAAAATCTAATAAAAGGTAAACAACCTCGTAAAGTATTTTTCATCATTTTGAAATCATCATCTGACCAAGTTGTAGGATCTGGAAGAAGTTTAGGATTTTTTTCAAGTCCCCATTTTAATAAATATTCCCAAATTTCAATTTCTCTCATTTGTAAATCATCTCTTTTAATGAGTGAAACAAGAGATTTTTCGGGAAGAGAGGTAAAATCAATTGATTTAAATATTTTTTCAGGATATTTAGCCATAAGATTTGTACAATATTGTTGAAGTAATATTAAAGAGTTAGATAGAAAACTTGTTCGGTAAACAAGTTCAAAATGTTGTTCTATCCATTCAGATTTATTTTCAATCAAATATTTTTGTAAATAATCAATTAGTTCTTGAAGAAGTAGTTGATCAGTAGCGACCAGAACTTTGAAAATTTCAGAAGGTTCTTGATCATTTAAAGAAATGAAACCACCATAAATGTATCTAAATAATAAATTATATAATAAATACAAAAATATTTAAAATATTAATAAGAATTAGTAATATAACTTACTTTAAAATAATTTGAAAAGTGTCTGGTGAAATATTCGATAACTTAATATGAGCCAAGGCAACATTATCATTTTTTTTGTTGGAGGATAATGTCCGTCGTAAAAATGGAGAACGGTAACACAGAATAATCTTATGTGCACGAAATATTTTTACATTTGAACCGTTACCAACTTCAATAGTAATATCATAATAATTATCATCTTTCAAAATCTCAACAAAGTTTTGACTTAAATTTGTAAAAAATTGCTTGAACATATTTCTGTATTAGATTTACAATGTGAGAGAGTAAATAAAAAAATTTCTTTTGCGAATTCATTAAATGTCGGATGTCGATCAGTTTACAAATTCTGTGCAACTTACCATTTTAAATAATATTACTGTTAAGTAATTCTAAGGCTTCGATCGGTATCGGTCGATCCGATCAGTTTTGGTATCGGCTTTGCAATTTACCGAGACCGAATCATTCGGTAAATTACCGATCAATTGACCAAAAATTTTAAAAAATAACAATACGGTCTAAAAAAAAAAAAGATTGAAAAAAACAATATAAAAAAAATTGGTCTTTTAAGACCTAAAAAAAAAAAATAATTTTTCAGTTTGATTAAGCTTAAATGGGAAAAAAATGAGAAAAAATAAATTTTTCGGCTTGAAAAAAAATTAGCTAAAAATATTTGAATTAATAATCAAAAAATAAAATTCCCGATTAAGGTAAATTCATTAACTGGAATTGGATTAGTTGATCGGAATGCACAGGTTTTGACCACAAATGGATCAGGCGGAGGAATGTCATGGGTTTTATTTATGCGGAGACTAATCCAAGCATCAGACAAATTTTTTTAGTTATATAGATTTTTTTGTTATATAGATTTAACAAAAAATTTAAAATTTGTTATAGATTTAATTACAAAATTATTAATATTGTCATGTATCTATATAATTAACTATGTAATTAAAAACAATCTCCCTAAAAAAAAATGCGTTAATATCAAAAAAAAAAATTTCATGCGATTTTATTAGTCAGAAACAATATCCATTGACAAAAAAAAAATCTCTAACATCGAAAATGCAGTAGGCTAATCTGATTATAGTCTTAACCCAAACCAAAAAAAATTAAACAATATTTATTGGGTTAATAAAAAAAAAGACTAAAAAGGTAGTTTTGGTCTTTACGGTAAAAACTGAACAATAAAAAAAAAAATTATTATTATAGAAATGGTTAGTCGTGGTAATTAAGAGAGCGAAAATGACCGCAAATAAAATGCAATTAATTATACTTTTTGTTAGTAGTAATCCATCAGAATAAAGAAAATCCAGTTAAAATCAATTAACCGGAAATGTATTAGTTTAAAGATTGGTTATCGTAGTCGGTTAATTATGATATGATAAATACGAAATAGATCGAACGCAAGAATATCACACTTTTTTGGTTAAAGAAACAAGAAAATACCACGTCAGTAAGAAGAAGAGTCATCGAATTAGCGGAACAACAAAATGATCTTGAAACATATAAGACGCTAAATGATGATTTCACAAAAAGACTAGAAGATGTAAATCGATATCAAGATGGAAAAGAAGTCGGAGACAAAATGCCGATCTTGGAATCACCTCACGCCCCGTCTCGCAAGCCTGTCTTGGTTGAGACAAACGAGAATGAGCACGACGAGAATAATATGGAATCGGAAGAAGAAGCAGAAAAAGAAGAAGAGACGAGCGTAAAACAAGAATCAGTAAAGATTACGCCAAATGCGGTAAACACGAAGAAGAAGAACAAGAGGAGATCGAAAAAGAAATGAGGAATGGAAAATATACAATAATAAGGATACGGACGATCGTGTATATAGAATCGAAGTCACGTGGTTTCACGTTAAAAAATTTACCGATAGCAAAATATAAATAATGCACTTTCGTCCATAAAGATTTATAGTCTAGAATACTAATTTTCTTTTTTTTGTAGGGTTGGGAGAAAGATTGAAATAATTAACGTTAAACGTGAGACCGTTGGGAATCATCTATCATGATAGTTATAGCATAGGTTTAGTTTTATTACAATTTTCAACCTTTTCCCTACGTTAAATAGTTTGAAAGCTTAGTTAGGTTTCTTTTAAATTTAATTTTTTGATCATGGGAGGGAGTAAGTATTTATTTTATTTTTGTAATGTTTTTTTATTAAATAGATTAAACTCTGTTATAGGGTTATCACGTGTTTGACACGGTTAGCTCTAAGTATCTTGTTATTAAGGATACATTATTTATTAAATCCTAATAAAGATGCGTTACATTTTTTTTTTTAAAAAAAAAAAAAAAAGAATATCACACTTTTCAATGTTACACAATTCAAATTATTTATATGGGTAATCTAAATATGACAAATTTTTTTTAATTAGATAGATTAGATAGATATATTCGGACCTACATTTGGTAATGATGGTATTGATATACAGTATAGGGGAAGAGATTAATAATACGATTAGTGTCAGTAAAGCAATATAGTTATAAAAAAAAATGAGAGATACAAAAGACAAGTTCTTATGGAAATTATAAAGTGTTTCAAATTATAAAAAAAAAAAATTGATCAAACCTATATTTATACATTTTAACGATCTGCTTTTAAGAAAAATTAAAAAATTTTAAAAGTAAACCGAATACATATAAACACTATCATGTGCATACAGAAAAATCATATTATAATGCAGAATTCACAAGTAAGAATCGTTTCTCATTATATGCTTTTTTAGTAAGCATATTATTTGATTTTAAATAACATACTTTTATAAACAGTCATATATACAGTTATATACAGTATATTATATATCCAACACAATATCATTACTAATATTGGTATTAATAAAAATTACTACTTGAAAGTCAAAGTTGGATATACTATCATTTAAAAGAAAAATAATTCATGTGAATTTTCTTTATTATCTCAATTTCATATAAGTATAAAGAATTGAAGAGACTAAGAGACACAAAATTTCATTTTTTAAATGGCAATGATAATATTTTTTAATATATTAGGACCATGTATTTAGTATAAAAAATAGGACCAATATAAATTACTACACATGAAAATCTAATGACAGCTAATCTCAAAAATAAATGTAAAATAACTAGCACGATACATGAATATGTTAAATTCTCCAATTTATTAAATTTTATGAATATTTAATTTACGCCTTATTGTTAGTTATTTGTAGTTTATAAACTTTATATAATTTTATTTACAAAACCATATTATTGTATTTCATACCAGTTTACTTATTTTTATTTGATAAAGTAAATCCATAGTTACATTTATTCATTCAATTTAAATATTTTTTTAAAAATATAGTAAGCAAATAAAATTAAGCTTCAAGTAACTGAAATTATTTGAGTATTAATCATTTTTCTTTATAATTTGGAATACTTCATAATCTTCTATTAAAAACAAATCTTCTTTATCTCTTATCCCTCTTTCATAGTATTTTTGTTTGCACTGACAATAATTATATTCTTTTGAACCATTCCCCATTTCAACATAAATATCAATATCACGACCAAATGTAGGCCCAACATTATCACCATAATACATTGCATAATTCACATTTATTACATTACTTAAAATTGAATCTTTAAAATTATTCTTACTTTTAAAAGAAAATATAAAACTATCTTTGGTTTTAGCATAATCACCACTCGAGCTCCATTCTAAAGGATTATATCCTCCAATAATTTCTTTAGTTCCTTTTATTTTAATAAATGTTACAGTACAAAGTTTATTATCACATAATTCATGAAATTTTTTAGGAGTGAATCCATCTCTTTTTCCTCTTAAGAGTAAATTGAATTTATATGGCAAATATAACTCTCTTGCATAAGCATATTTGCTTTTAATATCAATTTTATCAATCCACCTAGAAATTAAAGAGGCAATATTTAAATTAACAATTTTCGAATCAATAATTCCATACATATTTCTAGATCGAGGAAGTAAAATATTATCATTTGGTTCACTATTAGGATTTAAATATGACTCTAATAACTCTTCATAAAGTTGACGTTTTAAAAGTTCTTTATAAGGCCTAACTTTTTGAAAGAAATCTTCGGAAGAAAAACTAAAAAATCTAATTAAAGGTAAACAATATTGTAAAGTATTTTTCATCATTTTGAAATCATTATCTGACCAAGTTGTAGGATCTGGAAGAAGTGTAGGATTTTTTTCAAGTCCCCATTTTAATACATGATCCCAAATTTCAATTTCTTTCATTTGTAAATCATCTCTTTTAATAAGCGAAATCAATGATTTTTCAGAAAGCGAGGTAAAATGAAGTGATTTAAATATTCTTTCAGGAAATTTAGCCATGAAATTTGTACAATATTGTTGAAGTTCTAATAAAGAATTAGATTGAAAACCTGTTTGGTAAATAAGTCCAAAACATTGTTCCATCCACTCAGATTTATTTTCAATTAAATATGTTTGCAAATAATTAATTAGTTCTTGAAGTAGTAGTTGATCAGCAGCGACTAAAACTTTTAAGATTTCAGAAGGTTCTTGTTCATTTAACGAAATGAAACCACCATAAATGTATCTAAATAATAAAAATATAATAAATATAAAATATTTAAAATACTAATAAGAATTAGCAATATAACTTACTTTAAAATAATTTGAAAAGTGTCTGGTAAGATATTCGATAACTTAATATGAGCCAAGGCATTTTTTTTGTTGGAGGACAATGTCCGTCGTAAAAATGGAGAACGGTAACACATAATAATCTTATGTGCACGAAATATTTTTACATTTGAACCGTTACCAACTTCAATAGTAATATCATAATAATTATCATCTTTCAAAATCTCAACAAAGTTTTGACTTAAATTTGTAAAAAATTGCTTGAACATATTTCTGTATTAGATTTACAATGTGAGAGAGTAAATAAAAAAATTTCTTTTGCGAATCCATTAAATGTCGGATGTCGATCAGTTTACAAATTCTGTGCAACTTACCATTTTAAATAATATTACTGTTAAGTAATGCTAGGGCTACGATCGGTATCGGTCGATCCGATCAGTTTTGGTATCGGCTTTGCAATTTACCAAAACCGAATCATTCGGTAAATTACCGATCAGTTTCGGTAACTGACCAAAAATTTAAAAAATAACAATACGGTCTAAAAAAAAAAGATTGAAAAAAATAATATAAAAAAAAATTGGTCTTTTAAGACCTAAAAAAAAAATAATTCTTTAGTTTGATTAAGCTTAAATGGAAAAAGAATGAAAAAATAATAATGAGCTAAAAATATTTTGAATTAATAATCAAAAAAAAAAAATTCCGGTTAAGGTAAAATTTCATTAACTGAAATTGGATTATTTGATTGGAATGCACACGGATCGAATAGGTTTTGACCATAAATGGATCAGGCGGAGGTTTTAAATTATATGGCATGGGATCTCGAGTTACATAATTCAAATTATTTATACGGAGGCTAATCCAAACATCTATAGATTTTTTAGTTAAATAGATTTATCAAAAAATTTTATTATAGATTTAATTACAAAATTATTAATATTGTTATGCATCTATATAATTAAAAACAATCTCACTAAAAAAAAAATTCGTTAATATCAAAAAAAATTTTCATGCGAATTTATTAGTCAGAAATAATATCCATTGAGTATAAAAAATCTCAATGCAATAGGACTTACTACATAGTTCTAATCTGATTATAGTCTTGACCCAAACCAAAAAAGAATAAACAATATTTTTTGGGTTAATGAAAAAAAAAGACTAAAAAGGTAGTTTTGGTCTTTACGGTAAAAACTGAACAATAAAAAAAAAATCATTATTATAGAAATGATTAGTCGTGGTAATTAAGAGAGCGAAAATGACCGCAAATAAAATGCAATTAATTACTTTTTTTTTGTTAGAAAAAATCCAGTTAAGATTTTAATTAATTGGAAATGGATTAGTTTAAAGATTGGTTTATATCGTAGTTAGGAAGGTCAATCAAAATTCCTTAATTATGATAAATTATGATAAATACGAAATAGATCGGACGCAAGAATATCACACTTTTCAATGCTACACAATTCAAATTATTTATACAGGGTAATCTAAATATGACAAATTAGATAAGTAATATTACAGTATAAAGTTAAAAGTGTATTCTGTCTAGTAAAATTTTGTTAGATTTGTACTCAATTCAAGCATATGGTGGTTATGGTATCCACTCCATAATTATATATAGTTAAGCAAAAGAAATTGCAGGTATTATACATCAAACAATTTGATTAAATATAAGAAAACATATTAAATTTGGAATGTCAGCTTTAAGGTAGTGGACCAAAAAGCGCCAGAAGAGGGCGAGGCGTCGCTCCAATAAAATGTTTGTCAGAAGGCGATAACCAGGCTTAGAAAAACAAAAAGAAAACGGAATTTTGGTTAGTGGAGTATGTATTTAGATGAGTGAGGATGTTAGAAACCTTTCGGAATTTTGTGGACCATGGATGAGTTAACCCTTCGGACCAATCAACAATCTTTAGGTTGGGAAGCTTATTGGCCTTGGACTACCACCAGCACCGGATTCTGGAAAAGATATAGAAAATGGAGTACTAACCTTTTGCTCCTTGAGATCGAAGTCACGTGATTTCACGTCAAAAATGTTCCGATCAAAAATTCATAGGCAAGATCGCGTTAGTTGCTACCAATGTTAGTTGGGGTTTAGGATAATTAGATTAGACTAATCTTTTATTTGTATGCCGGAAGGTATATGGGGGAAAAAAGTCGAAATAGTTTAAACTGGACTTACTGTAACGAGTAGCTGCATTTTCTTTTGTTGTTTTTTCTCCCTACCTGTAGATAGTTAATCGTAGCTAGTTTAGTTAGAAGGTTTGGAATAAGGCCCAAGTTGTCAACAAAATTTATTTTATCTTATTTATCAAAGTATTATCCAACTCATTTAATAGTAAACTGGATAACAAATAAATGATTCTAATTTGCTAATTTTATATCATGATTTTAAGCAACAAATTTAAATGACAATTAATAATTAATTGAACTGAATAAGTTATTTTCAAATATAATTTTTACTCGCTATGTGTATATAGAAAAATATTAAAAGTCAAAGTTGAATATATCATTTACAATTCACGTGAACTTCCTTTCAAATATTAGCTGCTATTAAATTTATATAAGCAAGAATTAAGAGGGGCAAAATTTTCTTTCTTAATAAATGGTAACCCAATATTAAAATGGAAAAAGACATCATTTCAAACAATTTTAATAAACATAAACAATAAATGTCAATCGGAAATTTCATATAATCTGCAAATGTTCAGAAAAATTGTGTGTTAAATATTTGTTGTTATATTGTCAGATTTTATTTAATATTGTTAGTTAATTGCAGTTTATAAATATTACCATATAAAAATAAGTAAATTGTTATAAATTACAATAATTCTTATTTAGTGAATCCATTAGTTACATTTATTTATTTGATTTAAATATTTTTTTCTAAAATATCATAATAAATTATAAAGTTAATTTAAAATATAAAATAAGCAAATAAAATTAAACTTCAATCATCTTTCTTTATAATTTGAAATACTTCATAATCTTCTATTGAAAACAAATCATCTGTATCTCTTATCTTTTTTTTGTAACTTTCTTGTTTACACCAACAACAGTCATATTCTTCTGAATCATCAACACCTATAGTAATATCATCACTACCAAATGTAGGTCCAAATTCAGCATGATAAAATAATGCTCTATTCATGTCTTGAACATAGCTTAAAATTGAATCTTTAAAATTATTCTTATTTTTAAAAAAAAATATAAAACTATCTTTGGTTTCTCCATACACAGCATGCATATGTGACTCCCATTTCAAAGGATTGTATCCTCCAATAATTTCTTCTGTTCCTTTTATTTTAATAAATGTTACAGTATGAGGTATACCATCACATAATTCATGAAACTTTTTAGGAGTAAATCCATCTTTGCTTCCTCTTAATAATAATTTAAATTCGTATGGCAAATATAATTCTCTTGTATAGGCAAATTTGCTTTTCACGTCAACATTATCTATCCATCTTGAAATTAAGGAAATGACATTTAGATTGACAATTCTTGAATCAATAATTCCATCAATATTCCTATATCTAGGAAGTAAAATATTATCGTTTGGTTTGCTATCAGAATTTAAGTATGAATTCAATAATTCCTCATATAGTTGACGTCCTAAAAGTTTTTTATATGGACGAACTTTTTGGACAAATTCATCTGCCGACAAGCTGAAAAACCTAATTAATGGTAAACAATGTTGCAAAGTATTTTTCATTTTTTTAAATTCATCATCCGACCAAGTTGTAGGATCTGGAAGAAGTGTAGGATTTTTTTCAAGTCCCCATTTTAATACATGTTCCCAAATTTCAATTTCTCTCATTTGTAAATCATCTCTTTTGATGAGCGAAACCAACGATTTTACTGAAAGTAAGGTAAAATCAAGTGATTTAAATATTTTCTCAGGAAATTTAGCCATGAAATTTGTACAATATTGTTGAAGTTCTAATAAAGAATTAGATTGAAAACATGTTTGGTAAATAAGTTCAAAATGTTGTTCCATCCACTCAGATTTATTTTCAATCAAATATGTTTGCAAATAATCAACTAGTTCTTGAAGTAGTAGTTGATCAGCAGCGGCCAGAACTTTTAAGATTTCGGAAGGTTCTTGTTCATTTAAAGAAATGAAACCACCATAAATGTATCTAAATAATAAAATATATAATAAATATAAAAATATTTAAAACACTAATAAGAATTAGTAATAATCTTACTTTAAAATAATTTGAAAGATGTCTGGTGAGATATTCGATAACTTAATATGAGTCAAGGCACCATTATCATTTTTTTTGTTGGAGGACAATGTTCGTCGTAAAAATGGAGAACGGTAATACAAAATAATCATATGTGCACGAAATATTTTTACATTTGGATCGTTACCAACTTCAATAGTAATATCATAATAATTATCATCTTTCAAAATCTCAATATAGTTTTGACTTAAATTTGGAAAAAATTGCTTGGACATTTTTTTATTAGATCTGCAATGTGAAAAAAGTAAGAGTAAGAGTAAAAGAAAATGTTTTTTAAAAATAAAGTTTGCGAATCCATTAAATATTGGATGTCGATCAGTTTACAAATTCTGTGTAACTTACCATTTTAAATATCTTGTCCTATCGTTACTGTTAAGTAATACTTATTAAATAATGCACAGTATAAATTTTTAACTCAATTCTGATTCTAAAATTAAAAGAACTTGTTTTTTATTTTGCTTCTTTATAAAACAGATTTGCGATGTTCCGATTTTGATATGTCAAAATATCCTGTAACAATCCATAATCTATCTATAATCATTTGATTGAGACATTGCAAAACTTGCAATATTATGTTAATAAAATACATATCAGCAGCAAAAAATTTGCTTTTACAATGTTGCAAAGTAAATTTCACTATTATTGATCATTTCAACTACGCCAACTATCTGATCCATTTCTAGAGAAATTACAAGAACAACGTAAGAGAAACTATAAAAAAGAAGTGAACTTAGTATTGTTTAAAAAAAAAAAACACTAACTTGTTATCTATAAGCATGAATTATTTTGTAATAACTTTATAATTTATACATTTATAATTATTTTAATTTTTTAAATTAGCTGTAACTTATTGCGTTGCAACAGGATTAATGAGTTTTTAATCAACATAATTATAATTTCTTTATTTTGTAGGATTTAACTCTTGGATGTTGAAATCGGCTTAAAGATATATTGAATAAGCTAAGGGAATGGTTGATGAAAGGTGGTGATTTTATTTATTTATTAGAAATGTTTAATTCACAGATTGAAATGTGGACAA